CTGGGGGTTCGTCGTGCTGACCACACGTCATCCTATATCTGGTTGGATGATCGTTCACCTCTGCTTAGGCATGTGAACGTGAGGCCAGTAGCCAGCTAGTCGGCTTTGGCTCTCAGAGGGCTATTACGCCACGGATTATTATTAAGATAATTCTGCCAGCCTGTCTGCTGACGAGATACTAACATGTACATGTAACACGTTTTATTCTAATGGGATTTTGGACTAAACCCACTGGAAGGAGAGAATTTTCGTGTGATAGACAAAACCTGTATAGAATTGCTGTTAGTTACTCAGGATTATTCATGACAAAATATTTAAACGTAATTTTACAAAATGCAGACACGTGATATTACAAAACAAGTTATCAAGACAATAACAGCTTTTGCAAACGAGATATTCACTTCACGTTACGAAAACATTACTCATGAGAAACTAATTTATTTTCAGCGCAAAACTGGGCCCACTGATGGATATTGTTACCAACTGATATTCATATATTCCCATGGTTGTTACGTCACATGTTCTCGCAAAGGATGGCGGGTAATGGCCAGACAATCATCCTTCACTTTACGAATTTGAGTACCTGTCAAGTTGGTGTCTCTTCCGAAGGAAATTTAGAAAATAAAAGAGAGTTTAGGTTAGCCTCAATTGCCACAACCTCAATACATTTTTTCAAGAAAATCCCACCAGCTTGTCTCAAGTTGTTACATGGCAGAACTTACAGCTCGTAGAACTATCGAAAGATGATGCAATGATCTCGACCCGAAGACAGGAGACAGAACAGGCGAGGACGAACAAATCTTGCACAATCTATGCGGCTTGATCGGGCTTCCTACACAAAATTCTGCGATCAGATGGGACCGTGTCTCTGCAAAGCTACGGCCACTGATGCGTCCACTGTGTGTCCTCAGGTGATACAAGCGCGAACGCAGAGTAGCGGGGGGTGGGGGGTGGGGGGGAAATCGAAGGACTGTTTGAAGAAACCTGTGTCCTGCCACGTGGGCTGACACCCCGGCCTCATAACAACACAAACAGCATCGATCTTCCTGGAAGACGAAATGAAAATCCTTTTTCATGATCCTGACAAGCTCTGTAATGATCGCGTAACCTGTGCTGCTCGAAGTCGAAATCTAGCCAGAACGATGAATTAGCAGCGTGACTTGTTCGCTCTCGGGAGGTCCCCAGTTCCATGCTCCACACTTGATAATCTATCACGAGGTTACACTTGGCTCTCCTTATCCTTGTGGCAATTCCGACTGAGTTCGCCTGACATTCGTACCTCACTATCACGCTTCGTGGCCTCAGAATCTACAGAGGATTTCAAAATAATTAAAGGAAAAAATGTTATATATTATTTAAATCTTGCCCGTCTAATCACAATAAATTCTTATTAAATATCAAAATATTACAATAATTAACATTTAAAATATTTAAAATATTAAATGATGTTCTTTATCGAAATATTCGATTTACATTAGACCATCATTTTTCACTAATATCGAATATTTCGATAAAGAACATTATTTAATATTTTAAATGTTAATTATTGTGATATTTTAACATTTTAATAAGAATTTATTGTGATTAGACGGACAAGATTTAAATAATATATATTCATTATATCACAATATGACGCAACTTTACCATCTCAGGAAAAATGTTAATAATACGAAGTGTATAAATACTATCGTTCCTCTTCACGATATAATATATCGTACATGGTACAGGCCTTGAAAAAATGTCTTATGCGATACAAACCACGATCATAAATGTGTCAATGTCGTAACAAATACGCTTACATTTGTATGCGTTATACAATGTGACTGAAACCTATGTCACAGTGAAACTATTCGAGAATGTGATTTATAAAATCACGTTCTGTTTCTACCGGTACGAACTACGCGCCTTGATAATTAGTTTCTCTGTGTTTACCACTGACTTCAGACATCATTCCCATGAAAGCGACCGCTTCTTGGGAGGCAAATAGGAAAAATAATTGCCCGCCTCTTGCTGTACATAAAAGCTTGCTGTCTTTTAATGACTACGCCACCGGACGCTGCCGTGAGGCAAACGAACCCTGTCTACATCCCAGTAAAATGTTCACTTAGACTCTCTTTTGAAACAGTCCCCCGTTCACACCAGGATCTTTCAAGCAGCGCCTTTCCTTCAGGCCTTTCCAGTGTGTTAAAATTGTAATCCTCTCCCCCTCCCCCCCAAATTTCCCCCGAGAATAAATGCACGTGATAAACTTCCAACGAATTAACATCGATAAGGAGACGATACTCTGTGATCATTCCAAGTTCGCGGTCCGTTTCACACAAAAAAATTAGGACGTAATCTGACACCTGCTGTCATTATTACTCATTAGCTTCGACGAGAACGTAGATTCAAATCGCAGCTGAATGTTGAAGAAAGTAATTTACAAAGCACGTACCAGCGACATTTCCCCCCAATTAAAATTTGTCTCCAGAGCCATTCTCCCTCTCTCGCAGGGCTTGGAGTGTGAACAGAGTCTTTAATTTCGAGAATTCCTTGAGGAGCGATGCGAATATTGTACTTGGAGTGTGAGCAGAGTCTTTAATTTCGAGGATTCCTTGAGGAGCGATGCGAATATTGTTACCATGGGAACAAACAGACCCATGTAAGGCACGCACGTACGGTCCACAGAATCGTCGTTATGAAATATTCATGTTCCCATCCGATGCCTAGAAAGTAATTACTGTCGTATCAGCCGCTCACTCCGCGTGTTATGGCCGCATTTCCGGATTTCTGTTGCACATTTCAACATCTCCGGTTTACGGAACAATAGCTTGTCCATTCCTTCCTTGGATTTTCAAGGCCGAGAGTTCAATCAGCTCTCCGGGATGATGTGCGTCGAATATTGAAAGTTATTCAACGTTTCGGCATATATCAGTTCCCATCTTCAGGGCGAATATTCACTGCTTTAACTTTTTGTGGCGTCTTAATTTGGGCAGGCATTAGGGGACGAGTGTGTTGTGATGAAATTGGCCTAGCCGTAATGCGGGTTGCTGTATAACTGTTGACGACCACTACCCCATATTAGGGTTTTAAAAAAAAAACTACCCGTGTTTATATAAGCGTCGGTTAACTTCCGACTGTTATTTGAGGCCCTGTTAACGTGTACGTCCGTCTGTCACTCGAGTCAGGCGCCGTAAAAACACTAGTCGCTTCAGAATGCAAAGGAAAACTGTAGTACAGATATTTTGAAAATATGACAAAGTTAAATAATTTGTAACCGAATTTAAATCAAGATTCATTCAAGAATAAAAGAACGTTAAAGTTGGGGAACACATCCTAAAAATCAGCTCGAGGTCTTCTGAATCTCAATTTACTGTCTAAAAACATAAGTTTTAAAATACGCCGATCGCAGACTACAAATTTGCATTTTATACCGGGTTGAAATTCACTTTCTTACTCTAAGGGAGGAACATGGATTGTGGGTGGTTAGGAGGAGGATGTTTGGACACAAAGGGCAGTTAAATTTGAGGCTGAAGGAATGTTCATAACGAAGGGATTAATTATTTATAACCTTATCAATTAATACAAAGGCGGTTGAATCAAGAATAATGAGATGCATATGACATGTAGACATGTGACATGCCTTAGTAAGATTGACTTCGCAACAGTAAGTTCGTATTTAAAGTAAGTGAACTCCACCAGAAAAGCAAAACGAGTAGTAAGTAGTAATGGGAAATAATGTATCTGCAAAGCACCCGAGAGGTAGCATCACCACACTAAGACCTCCCCATTCTTCCTGCCCCAATTACTCTTTCATTTTTCAGGTGAAGCAGATGTTCAAAGGTTACCATTAAATTTTCCACCTTGTTTCTTTGCCCTGCCAATTAGTGGGAACATCGATCTCATAAAACAGCATTACGAGTAATTGTACTCTGTAATACAATGTATTTTCCGTTGTCTGCTTTGAAATAATAGCAGCTTTCTAAAACGTTCTTTGTAAGTATCTTTGGCTCTACAGAACATCAAAGTAAAATAAAGCTGTCCCACTTGGGGGAGAGAAGGAAGTCTATAGTTCCCATTTGTTCTTAACCTATACACTACCGGATGGTGGCAACCAAAATGCAGCTGTCGGAACAATTCCAGTCCACACGGAATTCTAGAACATTTTGCGTGCTATATAAATACTAATAAAATGTAAAGACAGGTTTGGCGCTGGTCTGGCGATCAGCAATATAAATAATATACGCCATGTAGGCGCTTGGGGGGAGAGGCAGTATAGCTCCTACTAATTCTTAACCTCGTCACTAGATGGGGGTGAGTGGTCAGCATCACGCCCCGGCCGGCTTTACCCCCGGGAAAGGACCCCGGTACCCATTGGATAGGAGGCTGGGTGGGTCTCAGAACCGATCTGGACGCAGAGGCTAGAGGAAAGATCCTCTGCCCCCGTCGGGGATCGAACCCCGGTCGTCCAACCCGTAGCTAGTCACTATACTGACTGAGATATCCCGGCTCATAACACAAATAAGTAGTTGAACTAACTCTGACACCAACCATTGCAGAATATATAACTTTCTTTGCGTCCTAGTTTTGATTTGTCAGCATCAAAGGTTGCAGGAGTCTGAGATGAAACAAAGAATAACCAATACGAGCGGCGTTAACCTTCTAAGAAGACACTCTTGTCCAGTGGCTGATTCGTCCAAAAGCTGTGATCTTCATACACGTGTCTGACACCTGGATAACCTCGTCCCAGTGCATTGTTAAACGAAATAAACTAGTCATTATAGACCTGTCACACGCTTTCCCCATTATAATCATCTCAAAGCCTTTGACAACCACTAGAATCTGACAGCAACCAACTGAGCTGTGAGTCTGTACCGTCCAATCCCGTCTGATTACTCCCTGCATTGTCGCCGCCACGGTTAATACTTACAACGTCTTCAGCTCTGTCCGTCGTCTGGGACCAACCAGCTGAAGATATCTGAAACAGTAAATGAAGTTCCGGTAATTCAGGAAACAGAGCGTGTCTGTGTTACAGGATCCAGTCAGGAAGTTATTAAGTACAGAACTCCAGTTTTCGCTAAAACCTTTCGATTGTGTTCAGTTAATTACGTGCTTTTCAAAAGGACTGCCTTTCCTTTTAGAATTCATTGTTACGTTTGAAGTGGAAAATTCTTCTTGAAATCGTCAACTTGCATCAGATTCCTTGCGCAGACTTACAAATTCTGAGTACCGGAATCTCAGTACATAGATTCCTTGCGTAGACTTCAAAATTCTGAGTACCGGAATCTCAGTACAGTTCGTCTGTTGGTTATGAATCATATTTTACGCTCGTTGTTATGTTTAACGTCCTCAACTACGCTTAGCAGTTTTTTTTATAGCTGTATTACTTATAAACTTAGCCGTGAATCAGGGTCACGGGCATAAGTCATGGAGTCCAAATGAAATGACTGAGATGAACACGTGAATGGAGACAACATTTGAAATTTAACGAGTACTTAAGTGGATGTGCTGTGAACACAGGGTTAAGTATCCTGACGCCGAAAATGTGGCACTTGTTTCGTGGGCTTAGGGCTATTTGATACTAAATACGAGCAGTTGGATTGTTTATCATCAATATTAAGTTCATTTTTGTTCTAGAGAAATTATAAATGCCTGTGATTTCTTTTCTTTCCGAAACGAACACGAGTTTCTTTGTGACAGTTGAATTCTGAATTACGAAAACCTTGCCTATGATAGTATAAAGTAAAATGAAGTATTCTAAGTTACTAGCCTCAGGCAGACTCTAAAATGTAAGACCTGTAAGTGGCGTGGTCGTCTTTTGGTTTAAGGGACTCAGCTATCCTACCTTTGAAAATTCTTCAGACTTGGCGAAAGGCAAGGATTGCCGAGGTTAAGCAGGTTTAAGCCTGCGGCCTGAAGGCGTAAGGCAACATGAAGACCTAACAGATTATGACAACCGCATTATAGAAAAAATTAACTGCAACAGATTTCGTATTATGTGAACGTTTCGACAAGAACAACGAATGAAATTAAATATTGGGAACGCAGAAAAAAACCTATGACATATACAAACAAAATTTGATACTATCACATTTGGTTTTTTTTTAAAAAAAATATTTTGTAGTTGGTGTTTCAGAACATGCAAGACTTTAAAGTCAATGGCCTCTAGAAAATACGACGGTAGAACTGACCAGAAAAAAATCCACTTATTAGTCGACTTTCACGAAGTTTTACTTGCATGCTATGAAGACATTGAGCGTGTTATGAATGCGTTATTTCTGTTTTACAAGCTGATGTCGCTGTACGAATAGCTTCAGGTATTCTTTAACTGGATAAGTGTTTCATGACAAAAGAACACACTGAGTTTTCGGTTCAAATATGCATTAAGTGCCTATTCACCACAATATTTACGAGTTTTGCGTTCTTGATATGAACCAATGTAGTATCTCGATGTCTTATCACTATTTCTTGTTTTAACTTTGATCTCTATCTTAACCAATGATCTATAACATTTTGGCTCGTACGAGGTGAGATCTTAAAGTTTCCAGACTGTGTCAATAGAGGGCGAACCGGATGTAGTACGAGCTTCTGCCGCTAGGGGGTGCGGCCTACATTCATAGTGAATTTTGCCAAAGACTCGCCAAAACGGCTACGGAAACCTATGAAATGCTAAAGCAAGCATTTGGGGAG